GAGGAGAAGGAGGCTCTGAAAGGCCTCGGAGGAGGAGGAGGAGGCTCTGTAAGGCCTCGGAGGAGGAGGAGGAGGCTCTGGAAGGCCTCGGAGGAGGAGGAGGCTCTGTAAGGCCTCGGAGGAGGAGGAGAAGACTCTGTAAGCCCTCGGAGGAGGAGGAGGCTCTGTAAGGCCTCGGAGGAGGAGGAGGAGACTCTGTTAGTCCTCGAAGGAGGAGGAGGAGACTCTGTAAGGCCTCGAAGGAGGAGGAGACTCTGCAAGGACTCTGAGGAGGAGGAGGCTCTGTAATGCCTCGGAGGAGGAGGAGGCTCTGTAAGGCCTCGGAGGAGGAGGCTCTGGAAGGCCTCAGAGGAGGAGGAGGAGGCTCTGAAAGGCCTCGGAGGAGGGGGAGGAGGCTCTGGAAGGCCTCGGAGGAGGAGGAGGCTCTGTAAGGCCTCGGAGGAGGAGGAGACTCTGTAAGCCCTCGGAGGAGGAGGAGGCTCTGTAAGGCCTCGGAGGAGGAGGAGACTCTGTAAGCCCTTGGAGGAGGAGGAGGCTCTGAAAGGCCTTGGAGGAGGAGGAGGCTCTGTTAGTCCTCTAAGGAGGAGGAGGAGACTCTGTAAGGCCTCGAAGGAGGAGGAGACTCTGCAAGGCCTCGGAGGAGGAGGAGGCTCTGTAATGCCTTGGAGGAGGAGGAGGCTCTGTAAGGCCTCGAAGGAGGAGGAGGAGACTCTGTAAGGCCTCGGAGGAGGAGGAGGCTCTGGAAGGCCTCGGAGGAGGAGGAGGAAGCTCTGTTAGTCCTCGAAGGAGGAGGAGGAGACTCTATAAGGCCTCAAAGGAGGAGGAGACCCTGCCAGGCCTCCGAGGAGGAGGAGGAAGAGGCTCTGTCAGGCCTCGGAGGAGGAGGAGGCTCCGGAAGGCCTCGTCGGAGGAGGAGGAGGCTCCTGAAGGCCTCCAAGGAGGAGGAGGAGGCTCTGGAAGGCCTGGGAGGAGGAGGAGGAGGAGGCTCCGGAAGGCCTGGGAGGAGGATGAGGAGGCACCGGAAGGCCTCGGAAGTGGAGGAGGAAGCTCCGGAAGGCCTCGGAGGAGGCTCCAGAAGGCCGAGGAGGAGGAGTCTCCGGAAGGCCTCGGAGGAGGAGGAGAAGGAGTCTCCGGAAGGCCGAGGAGGAGGAGTCTCCGGAAGACCGAGGAGGAGGAGGAGGAGTCTCCGGAAGGCCGAGGAGGACGAGGAGTCTCCGGAAGGCCGAGGAGGAGGAGGAGTCTCCAGAAGGCCGAGGAGGAGGAGGAGGAGTCTCCGGAAGGCCGAGGAGGAGAAGTCTCCGGAAGGCCGAGGAGGAGAAGGAGGAGTCTCCGGAAGGTCGAGGAGGAGGAGGAGAAGGGGTCTCCGGAAGGCCGAGGAGGAGTCTCCGGAAGGCCGAGGAGGAGCTGGAGTCTCCGGAAGGCCAAGGAGGAGGAGGAGGAGTCTCCGGAAGGCCGAGGAGGAGGAGGAGGAGTCTCCGGAAGGCCGAGGAGGAGGAGGAGGAGTCTCCGGAAGGCCAGGAGGAGGAGGAGTCTCCAGAAGGCCGAGGAGGAGGAGGAGGAGTCTCCGGAAGGCCGAGGAGGAGAAGTCTCCGGAAGGCCGAGGAGGAGGAGGAGGAGTCTCCGGAAGACCGAGGAGGAGGAGGAGTCTCCGGAAGGCCGAGGAGGAGGAGGAGGAGAAGGGGTCTCCGGAAGGCCGAGGAGGAGGAGGAGGAGTCTCCGGAAGGCCGAGGAGGAGGAGGAGGAGTCTCCGAAAGGCCGAGGAGGAGGAGGAGGAGGAGGAGTCTCCGGAAGGCCGAGGAGGAGGAGGAGTCTCCGGAAGGCCAGGAGGAGGAGGAGTCTCCGGAAGGCCGAGGAGGAGGAGGAGGAGTCTCCGGAAGGCCGAGGAGGAGGAGGAGGAGTCTCCGGAAGGCTGAGGAGGAGGAGGAGGAGTCTCCGGAAGGCCTCTATGGAGGAGGAGGCTTTTTAATGCTGTTGTTTATAAAATAGTTTTTTTTAATTTCAAATAGAGGAGATTGAAAAATGGCTATTCTAATCTTGAGGGAGGGGTGTAACAAATGATGAAGTTGGAAAGATGGGGTTCCTATCAAGAGGCTAAAATGACATACATCTCTCATACTGGTAGTTAGATTGCACTCACCCATCTGTTCCTAATGTTCTGTCCCCTAGGAATGCCTCTCCCATAAGAGTGATCCATGATCCAATGATGCAGTCAGAAGTCTCTGCTTGAATCCATCAACATCTCTCCTGAATCCTGCTTGACATCTAAACTGATCAGACTCAAACAACAAGTTAGACACTGAATAGATGATGCAGGTTTCAAAGAGCCAACTAGGATGGACAGTCATCTTTCATTAGCATTTAATTGCCATCAATGCACCATTTTCTCTTTCCCTAAAATAACCAAAATGTTTCCATACCCCCGTGTAACACCCAAAACCCCCTGTTACCCCCATGTTACCCCTGCTACCCCCGTGTTACCCCCAATACCGTTTTTACCCCCCAATACCACATGTTACCCCCAATACCCCTGTGTAACCTCAATACCCTAGCCCTCAATCCCCCTGTTACCCCCATGTTACTCCTATGTTACAACCAATCCCCATGTTACCCCCAATGCCCCTGTTACCCCCATGTTACCCCAATCCCCGTTACCCCCATGTTACTCCTATGTTACAACCAATCCCCATGTTACCCCCAATGCCCCTGTTACCCCCATGTTACTCCAATCCCCCTGTTACCCCCATGTTACCCCAATCACCCTGTTACCCCCATGTTACCCAAATACCCCCTGTTACCCCCCCCCCCCACGTTACTCCATGTCACCCCCTTGTTACCCCAGTCCCCCAGTTACCCCCTTCCATAACACAAACCCATCACATGTTTGACAAGTCTGATTACTAAAACCTTGGGAGAATTGTGTTTGGATATATACAAATTACTTTAATGCTATGTCTGAGAAAATACTTGTATGGTTGGGAATATCTACTATTTGAAGAAAAAGATTAGCATATATAAGAGAGAAAAGATGAAAGGATGGATGGAAATAACCTAGATGGAAATGAAAATATATTATAAACAGAAATCAGACCCCACCCAGCCCCCCCCCCCCCAAAAAAAAAACACAACAACAACATGATCTTCTAAATGAATACCTCCAAGAAGGGAACATTGATCTATTTCTAACTCTAGTGACTATTGTTCCAATTTTGTTTCAAATTTTTGTTGATAAAAAAAAAATATGTATATCAATTATAGCACTTTCTGTAGATATAATAGCACAACACAATCACTATTATTGTGCACTACACAATGTATGCACCATCTCTGCTCCCTTGGGAGTGTTTGATATGCATGACAGAAAGGAGCTCCATGTATGTTAAAGAGCTAGTGCTATTAAAATATTCCATCTTATAATTATTATCATCATTGCTGTTTATGAGGAGGCGCGATAGCTCTGTTGGGCCGAGCAGTGCATGGTCTCGTAATCTGGTGACCCGGGTTCAAAATCAATTTGATGCGCTAAAGTGCCCTCTGGTATTGGTAAGGCATTAACCCTCATTACCAGGTCCCTCGGAGTGGACCTAAAGCCGTCAGTCCTCTGGTTGCTTACTAACAAGCATTTATGCTTTCTTAGCAGTCAGGTAAAATAACCACCACTGAACTAAATTATGCGCACACTGGTGAGGGGTAATCAAAACATTACATTTGGTGTAGTCCACATATAGCTGGCTACTACTTGGCATGGGTGAAATTACCTCATGCCAGTTGCATGCTGTACAGCCAAATTTGGAAGTACTGTAATGTCAATGACCATTCCTTATTCTTTTCTGCAAGTCAAACTTGATTGGGGTAAAACACTTAATCTATGTAGCTTTGCAGGAAGGTGTTTCTGGCATGAAGGTGTTTCTGGCATGCAGGCATGCGGCCATGTTTGCTTTGAACAGGCAACCTCATCCAAATTGATGAAGCATTCTATATAGCATCTTTGAAACCTCAGAAAGATGCTTATAATCATCACCTCTCAAATTCCAGAAAGAAGTTTTTTCCTGAAACAATATGGGACCTAGCTCTTAATCAACATCATTTGGATATTAAGATCTGATTCTTAATCAGCAAAGTAAACATTAACCTCAATTTGGGGTTATGCCCTGCCAGTCATAAGATTGTCTAGTCATACAGATGAAAGGTTACAGGGTACGCTGGTCCTAACTGTCATTATTCATAAAAATGTGTTAAGAATTCAAATAATTTATCCTTGAAACTAATCACAAAATTGTCCTTCCAGAGAACATCAAGGAATTTTCCCACAAAAATCAGCAAAGTCTGAATGAGAAAAAAACCTGAGAATATTCCTGAGTGAAATAGCTGTGAGTCAAGAACATGGGAGTATTATGTGAATCAGAGGTCAAATAATCTCTCAGACAATGCATAATTGCACTGTCTTCTAAAACTCCTGTTTTACTTCAGAGACTAGACAAAGACAAGAAAGTTTTGTTTTTGCAAAAACAGTAGGAGCTGTAAAAATGCTGACCTAGATGACAATGACGGTCGATGTACGTATCATACATAATATTCATCACAATGAAGTTGGAATGATGTGGCAGGAGAGTCAGTCACATTGATGTGATTAAAAAATGACAAGAAGGAATTACTGTGCTTCTAATAGCTCCCATTTATTATTATTATTATCATTAAGTATTTTGCGTCACCTGTGCCTGGGAGGCGAAAAGCGAACTGAATCACTGTAACCCTCGGATCTCTCCTCCTGGTATAACCGATTGGGGTGTGCAGGTGGATCACTACACCGGGGTTTTCCCCTACTCTTATACGAATAGTGCAGTGGGTTCTTAACGTGCAAAGGTGGTGATTCTCCTCTACACAGGGGCTCCATTTAACGTCCTATCTGAGGGACAGAGTGTTTTCCACTTAACACAGCAACAATGGGAGGGGCACGTTAACACACAATGCAGGCTTCAGTCATCCGCCTGGGTTGGATTTGAACCCAAGATCTTTGGTTCGACAGGCAGACACTGTACCGACTGAGCCAACTCGCCTCCTTGGGGGAACATATCAAGCATATATGACCCATCCTATTTTGAAGCTTTTGTCAGAATAACATATATATTTCAGTCAAGCATTATGAACAAATTGAAATTAATATTAAAAAAATTGCAATGTGGATGCTTTTGATAGAGGAAGAAAAAGTGGGAGTTCTATCTATTAAATGCCATTTCTGTTGGCATAAATCATTGCAATAGAAAAGGCAGTGGTTTCAGACTGGTCTCCTAGCATACATGCATTACAGATTGTTGGTATCAATGACCACTAAACATCATGTACAACAATGTCCTTTGGCAAGACATTGATCTACATTTGCCACACTCAGCCCATGTGATGTAAATGGGTACCTGGAAGGAATTAATTCCTTGAAATGCTAGAGCGTTGTAATGGCAGCCGTGCTAAAGCCAGGGTAATAGTCTCCCTCTGTGCCTTAGAATAGTTTACTAGATTGATGGCGCATAACAAATGCTGTAGTATTATTATACCAGCTCAGGGTAAACTGAAAGTTCAGACATGACGTCAGACGTGATTTACAAGGTGCAACTAAATGACAGCCATACTTCTGATATGATTCTGATATACTCCATCATCGCTTGGCATCAAATACTCAAGCATGAATTGCCCTGAACTGATGAGGTAGCCAAGATTACCATGACAACTGGTACCAATAATAATGATAATTCTTGATAAAGATTTATACATGTATATCAATACAGTCAAATTCATCATCCCTCTTTCATCAAGAGTAAAAAAAATGATGGTGAACTCTTCTAAGATGTTCTACATGTATATGTTACATCTTATAAAGGAGGTGTGGCAAAACTTGGAGGATAGCTGAATATGAAAATGCTACATCTTTGTGCAAACCAGACTGCATAAAGCAATTGCTTTCATGCCAATCTGGGCTACAGTTCCCACCGCTCCGGGATGGGAGGTCAAACGGAGGGCCAGTACACGAAGGAGCCTTTCTCATGAATTTGTACATGACTTTGTCCATGACTTTGTCCATGACTCTCTGCATTTTGAATCAAGGGTACACATGTAATGCCCTCTATGATTTGGATTCCTTCCACATAGTGACTTAGACACTCTGAAACCAATTAAAAATCCTCTGTGGAATGGAGGAACCAGTAGGGAATTTGGATCAATCTGCCCTTGTTTGGGATATTTATTTTGATCATGGACTTTATTATCATTTTATCCCGTTTTGCTTATTTTCTTAGGTTTAGTTTCTGCCTATATACAAATTGCATTGTTAGAATATAGAATGTTGAATTACAATTATATCAAGAAATGTAGGAATGAAATGTAGAAATGAAATGTAGGAATGACATGACATGAAATGAAATGGTCTGACCTTTGTCATTATAACTAGTCTGGAAAATAGGTAAGAACTTCAACCCCCTCCTATCTTACCCATCATGTTTTACTAATCCTGCTAAACTGTGTCCAATGTGTAATCTATATATTCTAAATATTTCTTATAATTTTGTTCAATTGATAGAGGAAATGTGATCCCATTAAACCCTCCTGTTTTAACTCTCTTCCAATCGTGTCCAATGTGTAATATATAAATCCCAAATAATTTTTTTTTGTACCACTGATAGAGAAAATGTCATTGCATTTGCAGGCATTAATGCTACATAAAAGTATGACTTCCTTACCTCCCGTTGACTCTAAGAACCTGCTTATCATCTACCCAGTGCCAACCTGTTGCGTGAATCATCACAGTTCAGGTGTCAGGTAGGACCCAGAAGAGTAGTTGGTGACTTCAAACACAGACTTCTTTCTGCATCATCATCACATGGATCACACCATGGAAGAGACAACCTTGGAGGAGCAGAAACATGAGGAAGAGATGGGTTTGTGCAATCCTTCTACCAGCAAAGACATGTGTGACCCCTTGGTCTCTAGATAGGATAGGGGTGAGAGAGGGAACGAGGAGGTGTGCCATACGATTGGAAGGGATGAAGGGGGAGGGGGGTCTGGTATGGGAGGAGCAGGAGAGTGTGGTTAGGGAGAGGTTATGGGATCATGTTCTTGTAAAGGCACTATATAAATACCAATATGTATGTATGTACAGGTGTATGTATGAATGTATGTATTCATTATAAAGAAAAGAAAAGTTATGGGAGGAATATAAGAATCATGTTCTTGTAAAGGCACTATAGAAATACCAATATGTATGTATGTACAGGTGTATGTATGAATGTATGTATTCATTATAAAGAAAAGAAAAGTTATGGGAGGAATATAAGAATCATGTTCTTGTAAAGGCACTATATAAATACCAATATGTATGTATGTACAGGTGTATGTATGAATGTATGTATTCATTATAAAGAAAAGAAAAGGGCCCATTGGGTAGCCAATAATGGCTGCACTTGTGAATCCACATGTATTATGCAAAAGGGGAAAAAGAATTTAAAGCATGAGGCTCTCTAGAAAAAAAATTAAAGTATAGTCACTTTGCCCATATTCATTTCACCAAAAAAGTGTAAAACGATATGTTTCTAATGATTAAAGTTAAACAAATCATGGGATATAAAAATTAAGTTTCCATTACAATGTGTGAGTCAGTTAAAGTAACACAAAAAAAAGTTAAACAAAACCCAGCAGTAGACATGTCCATGCTTTATCCCATCACTGTAAGCTCCCATTTTTTTTACATTTCTTTTATTTTGATATTTTTTTGTATTTTCTGTTAATATCCCACAATGTATAATAATAATAAATCAGTGAAAGGCTATCCATGGTGTTTCCCACAGATAGGGCCAGTATTCCATCACAACGTTTATTGAAATGAGGTCTTGCACATATACTTTTTTTTTATAAAGACAACATTTCAATAAATACTCATTCAGTCATCACAAAAAGGATGTGAAATAATGATATATACATACAATATATACTGTTAAACAAATGATGGGAACAGTTAACATTGCAAGAGAAAAAAAATGTGTGAGTGTATATAATGATTAATGAAGTATAACAAGCAAAAAGTGAACTATAGGATATTGGAAAATATTTTTTTTTTAACCTAATGCACACTTTGCTAAATATGAAAAAGTTCTCTCTTCAATAAAAAAAGAGATACACTGTACATAAACGTGCACCATGTAGTATCAGAGATGCATATATATAAATATGCATGTATATGGAATACTGGCCCCTAAGAAGACACTTGACCCATGCCAAGTTATACCAAAAAAATCATAACAGTGAATATGAAGGAGGCTAGAGCACGGTCCGGAGGCTACGGCCAAGAGGTCATAGTGTAAAAGAACTAAAAAAATCTGTGGGAAACACCATGAATAAACAACATTATCAAATAGAATGAAACGTAAGCTTACATAATAATGATGAATGCTGAGATGAAGTAGTTCTATGTTGATGGTGATGTTGGTGATGGCGACTATGATGACTGGATATGTAGATGTCTGTGTAGATGGCGAAGATGTGTAGATGAAGGTGTAGTGGCGAAGAAGAAGACTGGAGATGACGAGAGGAAAGACTGGAAAAGCTCACGATTCAGACGCTGTGAAAGATAAGACATAATTGGAATCAAATTTCAATTCAATACTTTTGACATACTGTACATTTTCTGTTTATACAGTGCGTCCCAGAAAAAACGAAACCGAGAAGTATCGATGTTCTATCATAACTTAATCACAACTATAATTAATGAATGATACATATTTGGAAAGCTTAGGGTCTCCTCTCTCATGTGATGCTACTCAGATGATGCATATTTCACGCATGAGTGATTAAAAGCAATTTGAAGGAAGGAAACCAAAAAGACATTTGGCGGGCAGTATCTGAATTTCGAAGAAAAAATCACATTTCTAGAAAGTTGAGTTTCTGCCCTTTCATATGACACCTCAATCAGGAAAAATGAGCCAGGAATGACAAAGTTCTGTTTGTTTAAAGTAGTTGTTTTCATAATTTTATTAAACGAATTCGTTTTCACTGGCTGCCTGCCGTATCAATAAACGAAATTAACAAAAGACTTAACTCCGTTTCGTTGACAATCAGCCGTAGACGAGAGTCTTCATGCATGGCTGATTGTCAACAAAACGGAGTTAAGTCTTTTGTCAAATCTGCTTTTTGCTACGGCAGGCAACCAGTGAAAACGAATTCGTTTGTTAAAATTATGAAAATGTAAGGGCTACTTTAAACAAACAGAACTTAGTTATTTTTCGCTAATTTTTCCTGATTGAGGTGTCATATGAAAGGGCAGAAACTCAACTTTCTAGAAATGTGAATTTTTCTTCGAAATTCAGATACCGCCCGCCAAATGTCTTTTTGGTTTCCTTCCTTCCTTCAAATTGCTTTTAATCACTCATGCGTGAAATATGCATCTTCTGAGTAGCATCAACTGAAAGAGGAGACTCTAAGCTTTCCAAATATGTATCATTCATTAATTATGGTTGTGATTAAGTTATGATAAAACATTGATACTTCTCGGTTTCGTTTTTTCTGGGACGCACTGTATAAACAGAAAAAAGTCATAGTAAAGTTATACCAGTAGGTAGATTATATGATTATTTAATGTAATTTCATGAATCACAACCTTTCTATTACATGTACATGTAGTTTTTATAGAATATTATACAAGTTTTGACCCCAAAACACCCACATTCTCTCAATATCTACATTAAAGATAAAGACTAGTTATGGTCATGCGATTGCATTGTGAAAGAAACGTTGTGGAATCGATCAGAAAAGGTTGATCATCTAGCATATATGTGTACTGCAAGGTTCTGGAATCATCAAACTGATAAGAAATTTGGCCCAGTCTTCGTAAAGTTACAAGCACTGTACACAGAAAGATGTATATGGGACTACGCACACGTGCACGACACATGCGTTTATCTCTCACAGTCCAATAGATAAACTAATTTACCAAATATATCAATTAGTAGGCGGTTTCCCGGCAATTTTTTTATTATCATGTATTATTCAAAACATATTCTTTCACATGATTGGTAATAAAGAGCTTCCATTTCATTTTTTGAAATTGGGGCATTTCCAATACTGGTCTTTATCTTTAACAGAATCCCTGACCCTGTCTAAAAGCTGCATTACAATGATTTCAAGTTAACAGTTGTTAATCAAGCCTTGTAAAATCAAGAATATTGGGCTATTTTAAGAGAAATTGTTCCACATTGGAATTGGAATTAAAAGAATGAGAGAGCTCGTAAATCTTTTTTCACTTCTACCCCAATTCAGTCTTCTCTCATGTTCCTGAAGCTATCAATAAATTAAATTCAATCATCTTCAGACTATTATCCCTTTTACAATAAAATGACAAGCTGATTGTTTTAGTTTAAGCATGATGGAGAGATTTACTCACGTGACCACCGGATCATATGGCAGCCTGTTGTATGAGATCTGTATAAATAAAAAGAGATATAAGTAACATGTGATATTTGAATCTATATCAAACATATTTATGAAAAGTTAGTGTGCAATCAGTAGCATATGTAGCTAAGGCATCTGGGCATGAACCCCAAAATTGTATGTTGCCCCAGGTGCCCCCCCCCCCCCCATTTGAAATTTTGAAATTTTGTAAGATCGCAATATAACATAATTATCATAATGCGAAGGAAAACTTCAATTCAATTTGATAAATTTTAATTGACAAAAAAACACATTTAATTAAGACATTAAACAGAAAGTAAATATAAAATGGACCGATCATATACAAAGTAGCTAGCATTTGATTAGATAACAAATAAAGTTTCAAGGTGTTTATTGTAATTATTTTTCCACTGTTCTCCGAGTCAATGATGTTGTGTACCATACCATAACAAAAATCAAAGAGCATTGTACCGCTAGAAATCATGCACATGCAAGGAAGGACGGTATTAAATAAAACCAACATTTTTCATAAAATTTTGCAAAATGTAAATGTAAATATTTATAATTTTCTAAATAAATATTTATCAGTTGTTCCTCAAAATTGTCAATTTCACTTGTCACTTTATAAATTCTCATTTTATTTCTACTCATCAAAAATATCAGGGTGGATTTTCCCATTTTATTTCCGTAAGCTTCAATTAGTTTCTGATATTGATGATTGTTCCAAAGAGACTATGTCAGGCTCCACTGACTGCCTCTACACAGAGACTGAAGTCTTGATTGTACTGGTTAGTGAGGGGAGGTTACGCAATGCAGTTTCTGTGTGATTGCCGATATCATTGTGCGCAGTAGCTTCAAGAGAATTACATAATGTACTTGTAGGTTACGTGAAATTAAGTCCTTATATTTTGATGTTTTACAAATATTTTGGATGTAATTTTATAGAACAGTATTTGAAAATAAGATCTACTTTCTTTCCAATCATTATTTTTTTTCTAAATCAAGCTACATTTAAGTCTAGAAAAACATAAAGCAAACTTGTCACCGGATTCTGGCAAAAAGTGCGGCAAGGTTACCCTTTATGTATGGGGATCAGTTTTATTACACACTTCCGGATCGATCCCCATACCAGACAATCATTTCTGTCCACTTATATTTAGACTATAAATTTTTGTCTCTTTTTGTTCGTTAGCCTCTAATTTGGGTAAGGTCGGCTCCTCTCTTTAATTTTCGGTCTACTTTACATTGATCGAGTTCAGAATTTTCAGATCAAAACAAAATCAACACAGCTATTAATCACACATAGGTGCATTACTATCCTGGCTGTGTAGTAAAAGCTGTGCTTTTGATTCTCAACATTTTAAACACCACTGTACAAAACTCAACTGATTTCACTCAAAATTGGTACTTTAGTGACAATTGATGACATGACTGTGTAGAGTCTATGCAATAATGTGTGGTGTGTATATTTGTGTATAGGTATAATAATACCCGCCTCACAGCAAGCATGCAGTGCTAGAGGTCAATACACATTAGCATCGACTCTCTTAGACTGAAGTACGGCCTATGCCGTACTAGTGGAACAAATGGTTCGGTTCGGCAGGACCGCGATGAATGAGATATGCAACAAGATTTTCACTCTTTACATCCTCATAAATGCACTTTTGCTGCAATATTACAATAGGCTAATAAAACTATAAAAAATAACAAACAAATATGGCTTTGACTTACGATAGCTTGCTCATTTATATCCTAAATTAAAGGTAATACAAAGTTTTGGTATGGGGTCATGAATTTGGTTCAAATGAACATATTAGAAGCATATGCAATCCTACAATATACAGTGATCATTGTCGCGGTCGAAATCAAGTCTAAAATAATAAAATTGTAAATAATAAACTCTTTATGTTGTATACTGTAGCTCCCTCTCAAGGTCAAGATATTAATAAAACTATAAAACGATGTTTCTTGACCAAAATCGACCGATTAGCTATTCCCATTTGAAAATTATATATCACAACTACATATTCTGAGATTTTCATAGTCGCAGCTACCATTGTACGGCCGTAGGCGCTATTTGAAATTTATCACAATTTACCGGGAGCATCAGTAAATTTTTATATTTGATTTTTCTCGAAGGCAGAAGTGTTTTAGGGGCTAAATTTTCTAGTGCTTATAATACATCCACATAGGCATCCAAATACATCAAAATTGTAAAGAATCACTATCCACCCAATTTTTAAAAATTCCCAAAACTTTGTATTACCTTTAATGATTAATCCGAGAAAGTCTCATAGTCGACATGATTCGTTGTCATCCATCTTTAACGGTTTTAATTAATGAATATTATTTTTTTCTTTTCGAACGTCCAATAGCTACGTACTAGTCAACCTAGTGATATATGAATATTCATAAACCCAATACGAAACGAGTGCTCTGATTGGCCATTCGCTTTGTTTTGGTAGGTACGACCCGGAAATATATCGGCCGGGTGATGTCATAGATTACTAATTTGAATGGATGAACGGTACGTTTCACGGTTCGGAGAAAAAAATTGGAAAAATCATATAAGTAAGTCCAAAAATTTCGCATTTGTATGATAGGTCAATTATTATTACTTAGTGTAAATAGGAGTACAATACATAGATCTATAGACCCTAGACCTACTTAATTTATATCTGATTTATAAATCAGAAAATCTAAATCTAAATAGTGAAAATCATATCACCATAATTAGGTGGCAGCTGGATTGGCCAGATTACCCCCACGGTACGAGATCTCTGGGTTACCGTCTGTATATGGGGAATGTCAACAAATGTCAGTTTTATTAAAGAAATGACCCATATCAGACGGTTATTTCTGTCTACGACTCTCTACGCTTTGCTTAGACCGAATTTTCCGTCTCTTTCGTTCGTTAGCCTCTTATTGGGGTAGGGTCGGCTCTCTCTTTAGAGACGGAAGCCGTTTATACACATGTCCTTGCTAACGCCACGGCCAGTCCTGGTCGTAGCGTTTTGCCCCCAAAATCCCCCAAAATGTCATTTTACCTCGAGCATGTTATATTGTAAATTAGGCCTAGGCTATAATAAATCAGTTCCACTTACCAACTTGACTGAAATAATCAGTTTAATAGTCCCTTTTTAGGAAATTATGGGTCAAAATCGGAATCCATGTTGAAAAAGATTTTCAAAATAGATTTCGATTTTGACCCATAATTTCCTAAAAAGGGACTATTAAACTGATTATTTCAGTCAAGTTGGTAAGTGGAACTGATTTATTATAGCCTAGGCCTAATTTACAATATAACATGCTCGAGGTAAAATGACATTTTGGGGGATTTTGGGGCAAAACGCTACGACCAGGACTGGCCGTGGCGTTAGCAAGGACATGTGTATAAACGGCTTCCGTCTCTAAAGAGAGAGCCGACCCTACCCCAATAAGAGGCTAACGAACGAAAGAGACGGAAAATTCGGTCTACGCTTTGCTGGAGTGGCTTGCTCCTAATCATGAACAGTCAACATCTTTTTTAATTATCATTAATAGCCGAGGATGTAGTCATTTAAGTATAGTCTCTGCTTTCCAGTTTCATACGCCCAAAATAGATCTAGACCTATAAAAAGGCTATAGGGGGCCTACATAAATTATCATGAGCTAAAAAGTAATACTTACTAGGGAACAGGCCTAGCCTAACAAAAAGTTGAACGTATGGGGCTTATCTAAACTTAACTTAGAGAGAGTATCGTCATTGCACGAAGATCATTTCATTCGCTCTGTGATATTTAGACCAATCGAGACAATCACTGTTAACATTATCATTTTAATACATACTATTACAACAAAATTCATAGTAAATTACAATAGACATCATCATAATCTCAGCTTCCAAGCACTAGTATTCAATAACTCACCGCAAGCACAGCAGACACAGTTTGCTGGGCCTGCAAATATGCGCATGCTCATATCCCAAAACAAAATAGAGCTTGTAATAGGCCATTTTCGTAATGTAACCAAATTTAATGCATAAGTCTTTGTAAAGTGCCTCAATACAAATTATTTTATTCACCTGATAAGAATAATAATATTTCGATACAAATAATCCGAACTGCATACATTAGTTGTTGCCAGGTTGGACAAACATTATGGTATGAAATAATTTGTATTGAGGCACTTCACAAAGACGTATGCATTAAATTTGGTTACATTACGAAACTGGCCTATTGACTTTTGACACCCTCTGACAATGTAAAAGGTTACGTAATAATTCAAGATTTTTTTTTCAAATTGGAATAAATCAAAGAAGATGGACACATGCAATGATGCATGATCATTTCCAAGTGTTGGTGCACTCCGCATTCAGTGCGCTACTTTTGTTGTTATTGAATAATATTCAAAATACCCAGTGCATATTTTCTAGTTTGGTGTCTTCTGTATTAAATAATGCCATTATATTAAAAGTGTCTTATAAACGGCCTCCCGGCTAGCTGTTGGGAGAATTTTCGGCAAGGGGGTGGGATCGGACTACATATTTTCCAATCAACATTGCCGTTAAATACACTTCGAGCAAATTAAGCAAACACGAATAGTAGCTATATAATATAGGCCTAATTTTGTTATTATAAATTGAAAAATTTGGGGTCGTTTGCAGTTGGTTACATCTATTTACATAAAAGGTTGTTGATAAACAAGATAAACGGTGAAGAAGAAACAAAAATTGGTCATAAATCCCCGAGTTAACATCCAGGTTATTTGAAGAAAACTGATTTGCGTTCATCCCGCACTCCCCCCCCCCCCCAAAAAAAAAACCCACCATAAACACAACTGTAATGAAATCGATGACATGTCCACCATTTAGATTAATGATTATACTTACAATGTTGCATGCAGTAATCATGCAATGCGTAGCCGAAAACGAATATGCCATTGCGTTTGCATTGAGCGGCTTTCAGCGTCAATGCAGTACAGCGACGAGGTCGGCGATCGATGAAAGCTTCCATTCTGTTTAGAGAATAAATCAAACATTATAATTCGTATGTCATCATCATTTATCAAGTCGCTCTGAGAGAAAACATAATTAGCAAGAGATCAATGTAGGCCTTTATATACTCAGTGACATAATTATATTGTAAACATATCAAAATGAACAACAAAACGTTTTTTCTTTAAAAGTTGAGCTGAATATATATAACGAATAATTTAGTAATTGACTAAAATAAATAATCTATCTAATTAATTTTTACTTATACACGGTACACTGCAAATTTGTTATGTAACGACTTTACACAACATTGGGTGGTAACCCAGGGGTTGTCTTAAGTTGTGTATACAAAAATACACAACTTTACACTGCAAATTCGTTATGTAAAGTAGTGTATTTTTTTTTACACAACTTAACACTGAACCACGCAATAAAGTGGTTACACAACGAATTTGTAGTGTGGTCTTCCATGATGCCTCGTTTGGTAACAGCAAAATGCAATGACAATCATGAATATAAATCCATAATATCATAACAAAATAAAACACAGAATAAATCATAATGCATGAATACAATTTGTTGGTATCCTTGTAATAAATGTGGACTTTTTAAACAAAAAATACTGTTGCATATATTTGTAATATCGTATTACATGTATTTATGGTAATCTGTTCTTAAATCAAGTGAAATATAATCTTAACTTTTTATACATTTTTTGAATAGCCTCATAAAGTTGTTTCTGAAGCTCATAATTTTTTATAAGCAAAGTAAAAAGACAATCTTGGCTCAACATATAGACTCACATGCACTTGAGATACCAAAAGTTCTATAATATAAAACTTTGGGTATCTCAAGTGTGGATATGCAAATATTACAAGATTGAATTCCTTGTTAGGTAATAAATTTCCGTTGATTTGAATTAAAATAGCATTTGAATATACAAGCTAAATACTAATGAACATATCAATATATTTTAAACTGATAACAAATGATGTCATTGATTTAATTTGAAAAACTTCATGTTATCCTACATTATGATAACTATGAAGCAAATTCCATCAGGATGAATATGAAAACTGCATGTGCAGTTGGATTGTAAACGCATCACGAAACAATGGTGTGATCAGGCGCGTACGCAGGATTTTTTCAAGGGGGGGGGGGGGGGGGGGTTTAACATTTATAAATCGGGCCGAAAATTTCGCAACGACTCAGCCAGCCGCTGAATAAGCGGGGGGGGGGGGGGGGGGGGTAAGAGGACATTTTTTTTTTTTTGGTACCCAAAAAATCGCAACGACTCAGCCGACCGCTGCATAAGCGGGGGGGGGGGGGGGGGGGGGGGGGGGGGGGGGGGGGGGGGGGATGGGGGGTAAGAGGACACTTTTTTTTTTTTGGCCTCGAAATTTGAAAATTTGACATTTGGCTCCGTTGGGGGGGGGGGGGGGGGGGTAAGGTCACCTTTTTAGGTCAGCCATGGGAATAATTTTTTTTTTATAATTTAAAAAAAAATCAAAGGGGGGGGGGGTTTAGGGGGTGATGGGGGGGGGGGTTTACACACATAAAAATACCAAAGGGGGGGGTTAACCCCCCCCCCCCTGTGTACGCGCCTGGGTGTGATTAACACAAGATAAATGCTTTGAAATATAATGAGAAATAAAAGTAAGAGTTCAAGGAATAGAATCCTCTCGGCATTCTTCTGTGTGCCCATGTCTTGAGCCATAATGCATGCATGGTCGTACAGAGAATTTTTTTATGTTGGGGACCGGGGTAAAATTCAATGAATTATTGAAAATTGATTGCATTTTTCTTTGGGTTTTTTTATTTGTGGGAACTGCCCCCTACCCTAGCCCCCGCTGCGTACAGTCGTGGTTCAGTGGCAAAGCAATGGCATCGTAACTGTGAGGCCCCAGGATCAAATCCGTGTCGATGTGCCATATTAGTGCCTTTTGTGGGGCATTAATCCTCATTACTGTCATTTATGACTTAAGGGCGTAGGTCCCCTAGTTGATAAGCATAGTAGCATACACATGCTTTAGCATTCACGCAAAATAAACACTGGCAAATTATTAGTCAATAAAATCTGAGAATGTGTACTATTATCTAGATTTATTAGGAATGAATCATTGTCAAAATAATTCCATAAATTGAGGTAAAAAAAAAATATTCCAACTAGATGAGCGACAGTGTAGTATTCCCATTACAAAACAAATGTAGAGCTGCACTCCTATCATCGGTTTTCTTCCTTTAAAAATATGATACCTGATCTGCTCAAGAAAGTCAGCAGAGTCTCACATTTTGGCGGGACCTTCAACAGAACGGGATAATTGTTTTCATGTTTAAAGGGCATTTCAATGCTTGCAAAATCTATAATTATGCGTGTTTAGTAAAAACAATAAGAAAATCAGTGTTCTGATTAAAACAAAAGGATGGGACAAACAATAAGAAGATGTCTCTCGAAAACGCTTTTGAGAACAATTGGGGGTATAATTATGTCCACCTTTCCCAACCTAATGATGCTCTTGGTCTATTCAAATGTTTATAAACATTTCCAATCCTTTGATTAAAACTTTCACTACTGTACTTTAAAAAAAGATAGATAAAAAATGTTCTAAAACTTACGCGGCATCGTCGGCGAAGTTTCTCCGATGTTGGTGGCATATTCTTGTTGGGTGCCTTGTCTTCCTTTTACATCTGTGCCCCTTCTGCGTGTTGCACAAACATCGCAATGCCGCTGGCATTACTCGTGGCATGATGATCTGGAGAAGGGGATGAAGAAACATTAACAACACATTATTAATACATAAATAAAGTATAGACCTCAAATAAGGTTGATGATTATGTTCGATGTGGTCTCTCATTCTATTATTCTAAAGAAACTAATTTGTTCATGTTGGTTTTGATGATTCAAGTTTACGCTTTTTTCATGTGTATCTAACTCCGTCTGAGAATATCATATTTTTTCAGTCAACGGTAATAGTTTGTTAGATTACAGTCACTTGCAGGAGAAGTACAATGGGTCCCTTGCTATTTACTATTTATCATTTTGTATAAATGATATCTCAAATGCTATACAGTTTAGTATCATTCCACTGTAATACTGATTTTAATACAATTGAGTATGTTTACGTCTCTATGGAGATTTAAAATGGATTTCTAAGCGGATGACGCGCAATGAATTCTTGTCGAATCCTAAGAATTGTGAATTAATTTTCGCTGCAAGGCTTTATAATATAAAGCCTTCACTTTTCCAACCTCATCTTGATTACGGCTCTGTTGTGTGGTTAATGCATGAACAAATTTAGTTCATGTGATGTGTGTTCCACAAAATCGAGCACTTTGCAATTTATTACGAGTTGAACGTAGGTATATTACTGTTTTATTTATTTTTTATGTTGCATGGATGCCTCCCATTACTAATTTGTTCTAAATTTTCTACTATAAGACAAGTAAATATTCTCTTCGCAATTATGACTGTAAACATTTATCTTGAATAAAAAATAATGTGACCTTTTTAAGTATAAGAGTATAGTTTTAGACATTTCAATCCATTACATTGTGATATTAACCGATGAATAGACAACCTTGTTCACGTCTTTGTTAACTTAATCAGCTCTATCTATTTTTTGTTCACTGGGGGGGGGGGGGGGGGGCTGGGTTCAAATGGTAAGTCTCATAGTTTTCTCGATAATTTTCATTTGTTTTGTCAATTATATGTCATTAGTTGTTTGTTTAATAATGCACATGGGCTCCCTGAAAAGTGGTCTATTTTGCCGGGCTGATTGTGAGCCTGATTTTACAGTGTTTATATACATACATGACAAAATAATAGTTAACCGATTCTTTAAAGATATTACTCCTTGCTTCGACTGTGGGAGAATACAATGTTACTCACGAACTATAATTTTTGTTATTTTCAACTGATTTCACAGATTTTCAAATTCATAGCCTCACTCAGAATTTAAAAGGAATACTGGAATACAACAAAACAGTTGTCAGAGGGCCTTAGGTAGCATGTTTACATCCAACATTCAAGGGTTCTGAAAAGTATTCCCATTCTGAATCGTACGTAAACATTGTCTAAAAAGAAATACTATACAAATTGAAGATACATACCGAAGTAATGTGTACGAAAAAAGTCTGATATAGCGATGGCTGAAACAAATGAAAGAGAGAGTAATAAATGATCAAATAAAAAATTCATTCATAGGCCTATCACTTACATTATAGACGCTCTATAGTGCAAATGATGAAACCACATAAACGCGCTAACTCAAAAATACAAAATGATTAAGGATAGGGCATAACAAAGGGAAGATTACAGTTGATTGTAGTCCTAATTGAACAGATAGGTTTTAATATTCTTTGAGAATGCTTCTACGTATTACGGCAGAACCATTTATTTGACAATATTCCTGTTAGTTCACTAACCAGGTTTTCAAAAAAAACTTCGGTATCGGATAGTCAATGTATTATAGCACAATGATGGAAAAGCTGATGGGGTCGATAAATAGAATTCCTTTCCTTCTAAATTTTATCCTACTAGGGTATCTCCTAAACGGTTTGCTTTAGAAACCATATATACATGTTGTTTAGAATTTAATTGTATATATATCCTTAACGAATCATTACAGTTGTTTTTTCCTTAATTAACCTTGAAACTTGAAACAAATTAAGAGAACTTTCATAAAAAAAGAAAAGAAAAGGAACATTATCGTGGTTATATTCAAAGGGAAAACAAATTTGAATATACAAATAAATAACTATATTCTTTCATAACTTTCAAAACAACTTAAGAAAATGAAAACTTGATTTGTCCATAAATACACCATGATTGGCTAAAAAAATAAAAGTTACAATATTGTTTTTTACAATATTATTGATATCATGCCCCTCATCTTTGTAGAACTAAAATATCCATGAAAATTGGTTCAAGTAGTCTTTATTGAGCAATTGGGAAGTAAAAGTTCACTATCTAAAAATCAGGTTATCCATTATGAGTATTTGTATACATCGAAATTATAAAAAGTACAAAAGCAAGTCTGTAATATAATATGATAGACCATTACAATCATAGCATTATTTTACAACTTCTATTCCACTTTGGACCGATATCCACGTATTTGACGATTTAACTGCACATGACCGGTTTACGTTACTATTACGTTTTAGTTGTGAAGAAGAATAGTCTAGGTGTGGTCAACAGGCGCGTACGCAGGGGGGGGGGGGGGTGGGGGTTGTAATATGTTTACTGTAAAGAAAACGAAAATCTTCATCCTATTTATCAGTCAAGTTATAATAATTACATATATTCACTATTTTTTGCATGGAGATCCTTGTTTCTTATGGATAATAATAATTGAAGTCATATACATATATTTACACGAATTAAATTAACATAATATGTCGGTGATTTGTTTGAATAAATAATGAGACCAAATAATGTATCTAGTTCTCTGTTTCCAAGTTACTTCCATGAAAGAGATATGCATTCAATTACAAAAGGACCTCGTATAAAATTAAATGTTTACATTGTCCGCTGAATCAATCGTAATTATCACAATGAAAGAAACAAGAGCATGATAAAGCTTTTAGTCGTCTTGCTTCTATCAGAGCTTTAAAAATAATCAATAAGGAGTTACACATTCACATTCCGAAGATTACGTGACAAATCATTACGTATCGTTGCATGCACACGGACATCTCCAATCACGCATAATCATTCATTGAGAGACAGATAACAACTTGATCATTATTTCTATTCATTACGATAAAACAACTGAATGAGGATATGTCTCATTATCTCGTAACGACATTCTTAAGAGTCTTGGTTGAAATAATCTAAATCAAAGTTCATACACAAGCATATTGGCAATATGGCGATAAGCAGTTTTGTTAACATAATATATCACAATAGAGAACATCATTACAAGATCATATTTTGATCAAATACAAACATACATGCATAATGTTAAAATAAAAGTTCGTCTTTATACCAGCAACCTAGCAACAACCTGACAGTATTTTATGATAAAATAAGTTCTCGATTAATAATATATCTCTCCTACATAACACCAGTACTGTGATAGCATACACACGTGCATAATATTATGCTATTAGAAAAAGTAGAGAAGATAATAATATATGTACTTACCAAATACGAAGCGAAAAGGGAACTGAAGACAACGCGCGAATTCGGGGGTCCAGCAGTATCTTGATCGCTCCATTGTCCCTATTCATACAATTAAATCTATTATCATGATTTCAAAGACTTTCACATACTTGGCGTTTAAACATGTTAATCGTTTCTAAGCTGTGAGACTGAACTCGTATATATTCATTCTTGGTCTATATCAATTAACGACACTCTTCTCATAATGTGCATCGTCACCAGTCTCGTCCATAGTTTGGAAGAACTATTCTATGGTTGTTAACCATCGGAGCATGTAGCCATGGTAATACAATTCGCTAACCATGTGACGACGAGAAGAGAAGATGGGTGAATTCCCTGTTCATAACTAAGCCAAAGTCAGAGCATCTATTGATAGACAACCAGCTATTGTGTATTGTGCAAGGTTGAAAAAGTAGAACGGGTGAATGTCGTTCATAATTATGAACATTGCATAATGAATGAATGGAAGCGCTTTAATACGTTCCTTAATAAAAAAAAAAACTTTAAATTCGAGCGAGCGTAGAGAGCGAGTTTTAGATGAAATTTTAGAAAAAATTGCTTTCAGCCGCTTTAAATTGGGGGCTCTGAGGCTCTGAGGAATCCATTGTTTTGGGGATGATGATGAATTATAAAAACATCTTTTCATAGCATTAACGGTTATTGTGTCTCTTAATGTTTTAATGTGAATGAGATTTGGCAATGTTAATGCTGTTGCCGTCGAACACACCTTCATTGGTTACCTTGCCATTCTGTGAAGTTCAAAGGTCATGGGGTTTAAGGTATAATAGGTTCAAATATGCTTCTTTTATAGCAGATGAGTAGATTAGCCTACCCAGGCGCGCCGGAAGCACTTTGGGATTGGGAGGTGGGGGGGGGGGGGGCAAACGTTACATTGGGCTCGCCTTTCAGAGGCAGTGGCGTAATGAGCAAAAGAGTTTGGGGGCAGAAAAATCTGTACCACCACTCTTACATATTAAATGCAGGCCCCGTGGCAGTGGAACGTTTTTAAAAGTAACGATCAGGAAGAGCATATATATTCGATGTTAGTGTCGTCAATCCCTGGCTGGGAGACGGTCACCTGTGAATGATGAACCTACCGGGCCCTGCCCCTTAAATTGTAGGTGAACGGAACGCCCAGTCAGATTTCTATTTTTTTTTAAATTTGTATTGAATTGTAATTTAAATTTGTTTTTATTTGTATTGCTTAGTCGATGTTAGTGTTGTTAATTCCTGGCTGGAAGATGGTGATCAGTGAATGATGAACCTACCGGGCCCTGCCCCTTAAATTGTAGGTGAACGGCACCCCCAGTCAGATTTCTAATGCGTTTTAAATTTGTATTGCTTAGTCGATGTTAGTGTTGTTAATTCCTGGCTATTTTTAGGCTAGGAGATGGTGACCTGTGAATGATTAACCTACCGGGCCCTAGTGAAAGGCACGCCCACTCAGATTTATATTTTTTTAATTATTTGTATAGCTTAGTCGATGATAGTGTTGTTAATCACTGGCTGTAAATAAAGAACTTACCGGGCCCTGCCCCTTGAACTGTAGGTGAACGGCATGCCCAGTCAGATTTTTTTTAAACAATTATTTGTATTGCTTAGTCGATGTAGCCTTTATGTTGTTAATTCCTGGCTGAGAAAATCTGTATTCCGTTAGATCACAGTGATACCAACGGAATACAGATTTCCTACAATATTTACTTGTACATTTAGGAAGATATTATGCGAGGGAGCGTAGCAACCGAGCAAAAAGTTTTTTCGCATTTGTATTAGTCTAAACGCTGCACTCTTAGGCCCTCCAGAGCCTAAAAGTGTGTTAAAGTCTTTAGTCAGTATTTGCTATACATTTTTAGGGCACTTTTCAAATTTTCCGGTGGGGCGACGATCCCCCCTAAATCCCGCCCATACCCCCTAGGGAATAATTTGTTGGACATCAAATCTCTTTCACATACACTCTCTCTCAAGGATAATTTTATGGAACAAAGGGTTGTCTTGGGAATTACTAAATCTATCTTAACGGATGTGGTCTAGGGGCCCGCATTAGGAGCCCTGATGGGTTGCCAGGGCAGAGCTTCCCATTTTTTTAATTTTTTTTTTTTTTTTTTGGGGGGGGGGGTCCAGGGGTGGAACCCCCTCACGTTCTAGAGTTTAAAAAAAAAATGAAAATCAAGATGGCCGTCACGAACGATAGAAATGGTAATTTCTCCTTGAAATTCACACGACCTCTATCATTTCATTTTGTTGAAATAAAATTTATTTCAAATTCATAGTACAAACTCAGTTGGCGGATCCAGGAATTTC